CACTTTCTTAAACCTGCAGTCACTTTGCATTCCAGACCATCAGAGTCTCTCAAACAGATCACACCAGATGAGATCACCCTCAACAGGAGCTGTAATCTCCTGGGAACCAGAATAGAGCCAGCCTCAAGCAGTAACTTCACCACATCATCCTGCAGAACCTGAACTTATTCACTGACCAAGCAGACCACACCTTGACCAGTGGCTTAATTATGCATACCTCTTGACCCTGCCCAATTCTTCCCATACACTTTTATAAAGCTTATAACCCCCAAGGACAGACTTGGATTCAATGTATCCCTTTTTCAGTATTCACCAACATGGCCTTGCAAGCTAAATCTCCTTTCTTGGCTTTTGGCACTGCTCATACCTTTAGTTGGCATACTGGGGGTGAGTGGCTAAGATTAGCATGTTGGGACTCCTGGAATCTGGTGGTATACTCCAGTAAAAGTAGCAGAATAAGCAAAATAGACAGGCCAAGAACTCAGAAGCCAGAAGGCAGCTCAATAAGATCAACACAATACCTCCATCACAAGGGATACCTGAGGGTCAGTAATTCCTACAGAGAGCAGACAGTGGCCAGGGACCAGAGCTCCCTGAAATACTGCTGACAGGATGTGACAGACCAGTCAGGGCTGCTTCTGATGTATACTCCAATAGGTAACAGAGTACTACACTCACCTTTACCTCTAAAACCTGTCCCTTCTACTTCAGAAAAAGGCTGCAATGACACCCATGACACCACACTTGCTGCAGAGCTTTCTTTACATCCTGGCCTCACTAATCTACACAATTATTTTAAACATCCCCTTAAGACATATATTTCAGTCTTCCTGCAATGCAGGACTCTAATGTATATACCTTTAATAGGCAAATATCCACCTTCACAAAGTTTAACAATTCTATCAGTAGTTAGCTCTAATGCCCACACTACCCAAAGGCAGACAGAAGTGTCTAGGAAAAAGCATAGATGGAACGCAGTACTCAGTGCTGAGGAGAACAGGATGGGGCCCTGTCACTCAAACCTGGGGCTAACTGCAGGCAAACACTGTAAAGGGGAAGCCAGGATCCCAGCTGCCATACAGCTGTGTTGGGAAAAGATGTCTAAATTGCCTCATTTTCTTCACCATTTACAGAATTAAGGGATTATATGGACTGTTCTCAATTCTGTGATTACAAAACACAAGGACTATGAAATGACCACAAAACTGTTCACCCACCTGTCCTTAGCTTGTTTTAAATTCTCATACCTAAATATGACATAAAATAACCACTTGTGCAGAGTGGAGCTGCTCAGCAGTTAAGAGCACTGGCTACAGCTCCAGGGAACCCAGGTTCAATTCCCATCACCCATTCCTCCTGCCCCTGGCATCTGACGCCCTCTTCTGGCCTCCCAGGGACTGCATGCATGTAGTGCACAAACACACATGTAGGCACAACACCCAAACACATAAAATACAATGACAAACTGGATGTGGCGATGCACACCTTTCATCTCAGCACTTGGGAGGCAGAGGCAGGTGCAGTGACACAACTGATCTCTGCACTTGGGAGGCAGGCAGATTACTTGAGTTAAGGCCAGCATGATCTACAAAGCAAGTTCCAGGCCAGCCAGGACTACACAATGAAAACCTTGTCTCAAAAACAAAAAACAAAAACAAAAAGAAGCCTTAATCCCAGCACTCGGGAGGCAGAGGCAGGCAGATATCTGAGTTCGAGGCCAGCCTGGTCTACAAAACTACACAGAGAAATCCCGTCTCCAAAAAAAAAAAAAAATCTCTAGTACAGTTACCCAGTGACTTTCACAGTCTTATGGGGGGTTGATTGACAGTGGGTCACATACCAATAATAGCCTCCAGAGGACTATGGGTACTGCAGCATATGTACAGCAACTAGAGTAGGTACTGAGATCTTTACTCTGCCTGATGACATAGACACTGCTTGACATTCATTATCCAGTGTCTCCAGTGTCTCACGTGGGACACATCCTCACTAAATACTAGGAAATTAATGTGTCATAGTATGCACACAGGCAAGCCTTTGACTTGGGAACAGTTCAAAGTAGGATGAGACCACAGTTATTCAAGAAAAGACAGCTGTCAAAACTGTAAGAGAAAGAAACTTCCAACTAGAAGGCAGGTGTTAGCTACTTGATTCTGTTATAGTCTCCAGTGCATCAAGTGTTTTTCGTTTTTTCTTTTGTCTTTTTTTTTTTTTTTTTTAAGCAAGAGTCTGTAGCCCAGGCTGTCCTGAAACTCTGTAGACTAGGCTGGCCTCATACAGAGATCTCCACCCTGGGTGCGAGGATTAAAGGTGTGCACCACAACACCCTGCTTGCATGAAGCGCTTTTAAATATACTACTTATTAAATTTACCAATGACTGCTGAGAAGAAACAAACTTTTTAAGCTAGCTTAGCTCGTTGGCATCCTCCAAGCAACAGAATGAGAACATTTCAATGTACTTAAATGTGGCCCCCACTGCCCCCACATGCTGCCTGAAAGAAATCACTCATAGGTTCTAGCTGAGTACAACCTGAAAGTGGAGGTCCTTGTGGTTTATAGTACACTACCATGGCCATGGCTACAAAGTGAGGTTTTAAAGAGAAGGGGGGGCACTCTGAAAAGACTCCCAGAAACACCTTACATGGCAGTGCAAAAAACAGAATACACTTGGTGAGGTCTTCAGTTTCTCTGTATAATTATGCCACCATGCTCTAAAGCTGGTGGACACAGAGAATGATTTACAGAGAACAAGGAAAGCTAACATAGGGGTGTGATTGGAAGCTCCTTTCCTCATACTTGGCTCTTGCTTGTTTGGGTATGGGGATGTTTAAGGTGTGGTGGGGGCAGGAGTAAGACCTCAGGACCTTGAGTTGCCCAGTCTGGCCTCAAACTTCATAAATAGCCAAGGAGGCCCCAAACTTCTGATCCCCCTGCCTCTACTTCCCAGTAGCTTAGATTACAGGCATGTGCCACCATCCTTGATTTTCAATCCTTAAGCAGGGCCACTGTATACAGTGTTTGTTTTTGAGGCTGTCTCATGTAGCCCAGGCTAACCTGGAACTCACTATAGGCAGGTAAAGATGATCATGGGCACCTCATCTTCTGACCTCTACCTCCCATGCTGCAGACAGAAAACAGGGCTTCCTGGGTACAGAGCAAGCACTCTACCAACCTACCCACTCCCCAGCCCCAGTAAACTGCTTATCCAGTAACTATTCTGAGCCAAATGTTGAGCTAAGCATTGTTCTAAGACAGACATAGAGCCACAATGGAGGACCCACAGCTACTAAGATGATGGGGACAGACATCTCTGCTCTCCAAAATATCATGGCAAGATCCAGTTACCTCTCCCTAGAATGGTCAAAAAGCAAGATGCACTGGTTAAAACATGCAAAGCAGGAACCAGCAAGTTAGCAGCTCATGGCTCAATTGACTAAGACACTTGCCGCCAAGACTAACAACCTGAGGCTAATCATGGAATCCACTGCTGAAAGAAAGAAGAGTTCACGTGCCATGGCCTTCTCACACATACACTCACAAAATAAATAAAAATGCAATTAAAAACAAAAAATAGTAAACCTCCAATGTGCCTCTTTCAAACAATCCGCTTCCCACCCAGCCCTGCTTACTTCTAGCACAATGTAATCATAACAAACTTGAGTCCCCATGGAGCCTGCACTGAACTGGACTGATGTTCTAGCTTCTCAAACAAATCAGTATAATGCAAAGGTAAATGTATCATTCTTGCGGACCAAAGAAAATGAATCACATCAACAAAACAAAACTTTGTAATATGATATTAACAACTCCCTAGGAGCAGTGATCCTCAAACTTGGCTGCATGGAAAACTATTTGTAAGTTTCACTACGCAAGCTGTACTTTAAGTAATCAAATTTGAAAGCCACCGATGAGAGCAGGCTGGGACGAGTGCTGTAGTTTCCCGCTGCACTCCAGGGGTATGCTAACCCTGCCTTCCAACATCACAAGATGAGATCTTCACAAATGTTTCTGCACTAACAACTGCTCTGATCTACTCAGCATACAAGGTGAGGAATTTCTGAGCTGCTCTCAAATTCAGGAGGGAAAGCATAAACCTGAACATGTGGAGGAAAACAATACGAGTTTACTGCCAGAAAACAAAAATAAAGCCTTAAAATTTTAATCCAAAATTTGTCAGATGTTGATGTCATGTAACAGTCACATCCTCAGTTCTAAATACCTGAAAAGTAAGAGGCGGAGGGAACACAATGACCTTCAGGCTGGCTTATGAAGGGTTTTGTTTGTTTAATATATCTGAAAAGAATTCATATACAAAGAACTGGGACACAAGAAAGCATTGGTTCAGCACTGACGAATCCACAAGATTAGGACTGGGGAAGATTACCTAAACATTTTTTAAAATTGGAACCTGCAAACAAAATAATCTGATAAATCTCTATTAACACTTATGAAGAGTCATGAGGCTCTTGCCATTTTTCTTGAATGTGAAAGCTTCAGCCAGTTGTTCAAGGGTTCCTCAGAGGCATGGAAGAAAAAAGGGGATAGCCCTGACTGGTCCCCATGTTGGTTAAGTATGCTCCCCACCCCACATGCTCATAGCTTCTTAATGAAGCAGGCCTGTAACCTCACCACCTGAAAGGAGATGGTAGTCTTCATAACCATTCGTCTTCTAGCACCATCCCTTAAGGAACCCTGTGTACCAGGTCTTCAGCTGAATCAAGGAACACTACAGTCAGTTGTAAATCTATGCTAAGCATATAAGAAAATGACTGACAGGGGCAAAAGAACGTCTTCTTTTAATTAGGAACTCAATCCATTTGGTGTATTTCAAAAGGTGCAATACTTTTTTTTTCATTTATCAATGAAAGAAGTTAGAAATTATCCCCCCTCCCCAAATCAGCAAAGGGCAAATAAATACCCTGTGTACCAGGTCTTCAGCTGAATCAAGGAACACTACAGTCAGTTGTAAATCTATGCTAAGCATATAAGAAAATGACTGACAGGGGCAAAAGAACGTCTTCTTTTAATTAGGAACTCAATCCATTTGGTGTATTTCAAAAGGTGCAATACTTTTTTTTTCATTTATCAATGAAAGAAGTTAGAAATTATCCCCCCTCCCCAAATCAGCAAAGGGCAAATAAATACCCTTGAAAGTCACAGTCACATACAGAGTGCATCCTAAAAGAGGGGCAAGACAGCTTCCTTTTCCCTTTATGAGTTTCATCAAAGACTGGATCCACTCAAGGGTGGAGAGAAAAGTCAACTTTCAAGAAGGAGTATGTTATTAAATGAGGCGTTTCTACCCTCCTTCCTAAGAGCACCAGGTGGGGACACATTTGCTAAACTAGACCTGGGGAGTGGAATGTGGAAATAATCTGTCCTCCTGCTAAGGGCTGTCCACTGGTTAACAAATTTTAAAAAACAAGACTAAGAAACAACCCTCCCCACACACCCCAAAAGGAGAGAAGGGCTGGGGGTGGGGGGAATCTAAGATGCTCCAGATTGCTCTCCAAAATGGAACCAGGGAGCAGCTTTGACAATTCAAATTAGTCTGTTACAAAGTCATCACAAGCATGCCTTGCTTTTAAACAAAACAAAACAAAACAAAAGATTGGTGGGATCTTTTTTTTTTTTTTTAAACAAGGAAACAAAAACTAACACTCGTCACTTTTCAGACAATACACAATTATTCAAAATTAACTATTACTGGAAGGGCAAGGAGGGAGCCATACCAACGGGCCTTGTCTCACGTGAGTGCATGTGGGTAGGTGCAGGGCGTTTGTCATTATTGCAGAAACCAATTTTAATTTTTAATCTTTAGTTTGATTTAAACATTGCTTTTAGTATGATGACAACACCAGCTGTGCAGAAAGGGCTCTGGAGAGGCGTTCATAGCAGCACACACCTGCGGCTCTTCTTCGGTTCTGGAGGCTCCAGGGCAGCCAATATTGCTTCATCAAACACATTCTTTAGGCCTTTCTGAAAAGGGGTAGAAAGAAGAAATGGGCAATCTGATTTTCAGTATAACAACAGAACTGGAGTTCATCTTTAAAACAGTCAAACCACAAAGACAGTGGGCAAACAAAGAAACATTAATAACCCTGAAACTCAACCTAACAATCTTGTTTCACCCAGTTGTCTCGTCAGGCACAGGAGAGATTCAGCAATGCTGGTACAGATGAGTAGACACTTGTGAGTGGTCCTCAGAGATAGTTTTTGCAAACCAATATATATCACAAGAAGCAAACAAGCACATGTCATTCGATCGTTCGATGAGTTGTGTGATGTGTTGCAAGAACATTGTAGGTAGGAACAAGGGAAGCAGCTCTGCATTCAGATGGAGCAGCAGCATGTAAACAGAGAATACACCTGGACAGTGGCATCCATGTTATATGGAAGGCAGGAAGTGGGCAGCAAGGGTATGGCAGCTATAAATATATTCACTTTGAATTCCCTTTATCCCACTACATAGACAGAGCCAAGGCGATTCAAGGAAGAAGAGGCAGGTACCTGATAGAAAAGTGAGGTTAGAGCCAGTCAGTGCAATAGGAATAAAGCTTCACCAGGCATTTATACAAACAATTGTATATTTTTAATTTCAAAATGTAAAGATAACCACAATTGTATGTTTCCCTCACAACAACAAAATCAAAAGCAGGAAAATATAAAGGCAGTAGCTTTACATTTCAACATCAGCAAACCTTAAGTCAATTGTTAAATGGATGCTAGGATTAGGAGATAATGTGTAACAACAATGAACTCGTATAAAGCAGTAGCAGATACATGGATACCTTCCCCACCCCAGAATGACAAACACTCCACCTACAGCACCAATAGCCAAAGAAAGAGCAACACAAAGTTTCACTGCACACAGGAAAACCACAGAATCCTCCCTTCCCCGATACACTCTACTAGCAAGTCAACCTTTTCAGTTTGTCATGCAATTACAATTAACAATCAGTAATTACTGAGTAAAATGATGTTTAGTGATACTTTCTCCATCTAGAACTAACATCTAGAAGGGTTAAAACTCTTATTTTCTCTGAGACATCATTCTTAATGCCAGGCCACATTCCTTTTTGCAATAATAATTCAAACTAAAAGCTCTGAGCATCAGGCAACTCAAGCAGCAGAAAGTTAAACAAGTCTAACGTGACTACTGATCACAAAAAATATTCTAAGATATTGCATTCATGATCAAAAATGAATACAGAGTTTGCTCTAATGTGTTGAGTAAGAAGACGCAGAGGCTTTCAAACAGGATGGTTTTATTCCTTTGTTTTAAATGATCTTTCTACAGTAGTGGGACAGGAAGCAGCAGCAAAGAGGGGAAGGAGAAAACAGTTTAGAATATACAGCACTTCCTTTTGGGTTGAGTTTCCGGAGGCTCGAGGGCAGCTAGGATAGCCTCATCAAACACATTCTTCAGACCTCTCTACAAGACAGAGGGGAGGAGAGAGAATAGCAGCCAGGTTAGAGGATTAGAGACTAGCAGATACAACAGCAGTCTGGGTTAAAAGAGCTGAATTCACAGAAGCAATGTGCTTAAGGAAGGAGACACTAGAATGTTCACTCTTGAGTGAGAGAGTACTGAGAAGAGTAGATAACTGAACAGAAATTTCAACTCAAAAAAAGTTAACTAAGCAAGGAAAAAACTAATAAAAAATACAGTATGTAACTTCTAAAAAATCACACACTGAAATCTAATATTACATTTTGGTATAAAATCTCAAGAAGAAAAAAATAGCTATGTAAATAAAAGATAGATGTGTTCGAAAAAGTGAGATTCACCCAACATTACTAATGATGATGGCAACATACATATTTTGGAAATAAATCTATTAGAATTCCAGGCTTTTGTGAATTCAGCCCCTGAATAACTGAAGGGCACAAATAGCAACTAACAGGCATGCTACATGTCTCTAGGTTCAGTGACATATCTGAATGGGATTAATCGGGGTTTAGTAAGTCAGTTTCCCAGCCACTCAGGAGTATTCCCTGTGCAACAGTAGCAGCAACTCTAAGGAGTTTATGAAGAATGGACCCCAGAAACAGCATGCACTTCAGGTACTCAGCAATGTTATTAGAGCAAGGAACCACCAACCCAAGTCATAAGGAAACAAAGAATGGGGTCTCAAAATGAAAGTCAGCAAGCAGTCTGATGCTTTCAGATGTCTGCATGGATCCAGCGCACAGAGCATGGAATGGAAACAGAACATCCTCACATCTACAGGGACCAGGCTACAAATACACTTACAGCTCTGCCAGAAACTCCAAGGCTATGGGATTGGCAGCAGTGAACTCTCCAGCCCAGACACCTACCCCTGAGGCCACAGGTTTACCACCCACAACAGTTTCACATGTTCTTTAGGTCAGTTTGTTCATAAGTAAAAAATTTCCCAAAAATTCCAGAACATAGCCCCAGTGGTGTCATCCACTGGACCACCCTCCTTATACCCTACATACCCTCAGAGGAACCATACCCACACAATCCATTTTATACAAAATAAATGAGAGCAATCAAAAAATGAGATTTAAATGTTTTCCTCTTTTACATCATGTTCCCAGTAGAAACAGTACACAAACACTAAAGTACCTCTGCAATCTGTCCACACATCTGCATGAACCCTCACAAGCAAATAAGAAGAAATGAGAGGGTAGGAGGGAAATACTTTGCAAGGACTATAAACAGAGGAAGAGGACTGCTAGAAAGTAGGGTACAACCCACTGAAGAAGGAACTTATAGCCAGGTGAGGTGGCTTAATCCCAGCACTCAGGAGGCAGAGAGGAAAGTCTGAGCTTGGAGCCAGTCTGAGCTACAGAGTGAAACCTGTCTCAAAAAAAAAATTTTTTTTAATAATCAAAAAAACAATCCTTTCTTGTGTATTTATTTACTTCAGGAAAATATCAACAACTACCTTATGAAACAAGGCTAATCTTGGCTTTACTAGTTGTATTATTATATAAAACTTTTAGTTATAGAGGAATCAACAATAGAACCTCAAGTCTAACCCCATTTTATTTTGTTTTTTAAGATTTATTTATTATGTATACAGTGTTCTTCCTGCCAAAAGAGGGCAACAGATCTCATTATAGATGACTGTGAGCCACCATGTGGTTGCTGGGAATTGAACTCAGAACCTCTGAAAGAGCAGCTAGTGTTCTTAACCTCTGAGCCATCTCTCCAGCCCCTATTTTCTATCTTTTACCCCTCTGATTTCTCCTAACTTCAGAATCTGGAAGGAAAAATGTTTTTCCTATGTAACTCCCACACTTCTACATAACTTGATAATTTGCTCATACTGTGGAACTCTTACATAGAGTATCCAACTGTCTAAAATAAGCTTCACCAGTGACCTAAAACTGGGTCCACTTGGCCCACTCACCTCTATTTCCCCATAAGCTCTTGAGAATTTTTTAAATATTTGCTTCAAAAATGAGATCAACTGTTAAACTGGGCTAGGGGATGTGAAACTAAGAAATTGTGCCTTAAAGTTATCCTACAGAAATGGTTAAGTACAAAAGCTTAATGTTTAAATACACAACCAAGTAAAAAGCTGAGAGTTTAAATTATGCATCTGGTCCTATGTACACTAAAGCGCTCATAAAAATCTAACTATGCATAATTATATCACTGACATGCATTTGATCAAAAACCCAACAATATTAAAAATGAACAATTGCTGAAAAAGCACAATGAATATAACTGGACTTATATTAGTAACCTCTATCATTACCAAAATCTTTCCTTTGTTCCTAGAACCAGGAATAGACAATGTATGGTTAGTAACTATCAACTTAACAGAATCCAGACATATCTGGCAAATGGCATCTGGGTATGCTTGTGGGGGATGAACTTGATTACATTAATTGATATGGGCAGACCTTTCTTGAATGGGGGTGGAACCATTCCCCGGGGAAGAGGAGTTGGGACTGGATAAGGACAAAGCACTAGCACACTCATCTGTCCATCTCTTGACTGGATGCCTGTGAGCAGCTGCTTAAGCTCCTGCACCTTGGCTTCCACCATGAAGGACTGTACTTTATACTGTGAGCCAGAAGAAACCTTTCTCCTGTATGTTGCTAGAGCAAGAGGAGAACACAATGCTATAAAGCCTCCAAAGACTGAACTGCACAAGCATGTGAAACTCTCATTCACTGCTCGCTGAACTCAGCTCCAAGAGGACTTCCAGTCACATCACTCAGAAATGGCCAGGGAAAAATTCCAAAAGGAAAATAATACCCTCAAAAACACAGGACTGGGGGCTAGAGAGATGGCTCAGAGGTTAAAGAGCACAGGCTGCTCTTCCAGAGGTCCTAAGTTCAATTCCTAGCACTCGCATGGTAGCTCACAACTGTCTATAACTGTAGTTCCATGGGATCAGATGCCCTCTTCTGCTGTGCAGACTTACATGCAGACAAAACACCCATATACATAAAATAGATAAATAGGAGGCTGGAAAGATGGCTAGCAGCTAAGAATACTGGCTGCTCTTCCAGAGGTCCCAGGATCAATTCCCAGCACCACATGGCAGCTCACAACTATCTGTAACTCCAGTTCCAGGAGATCTCTCTCACACACACACACACACACACACACACACACACACACACACGAGATGAAAGTTTAAAAAAAAAAATTCAAAATTTTAACATTGGAGTTCTGATAAGCTACTGATCTAGACTATTATAATCACAGGCTCAAAATTTTTAATTTCCTTTGGTTGTTTTCTAAATACAGACTTAAAAGTAATTCTCGCTGTGCTGAAAACATCTTTGGTTTACAGACATTTGTTAACTGCTTTTCTACAATGAGGACTTCAGTGCAGATTACATCAGTGGTAATACTAAAACATATCTTTTTGTAACTTTCAAAAAATTCATGTAAGCTTCAGGCAGTCAAGACTTGGACCCACCTATAAGAGGTCAAACAGACCCCAGATAAGTACTCCTGTCAATCAATAGCTTAACCTTTCCTGCCTACTGCTGTCCCTGAGGATGGATTCTCTCCTTCCCCCTGGTCTTGGCATTCCTTTTACCACCACCCTTTCTCCCCAACTACCAGGATCACAGGCCTGGAAGTTTCAAGTTTATACCCAATATAAAGACCTACGACCTCCTCCCACCCCCCCACCCCCCTACCCCACAAAGCTCCTTATCTTCCTTCTGTTCCTAGCTTGTACCTGTCCCCCAAAATTTCCAAACAACTACAGAATGCAAACATGCCAGCCTCAGGTAATACTTCAGAACCAGCAAGGCCTGGATTTGCTGAAAGCTAATGTAAACTAGATGCTTCTGACATAATTTCTGGCAGGCTTGAGCCCCTGCTTTGGACTAGCATTCCAGACTGCTCCAAAGCAGCCTGGCCTCCCCTACCCCAGAGCCTTACTTAAACCAGCATTCCAGCTTTCTTGGGCCCTGACAACAATGTCCTAATTTCAGCTAAGAAGCAGTTATAAGAGAGACTACATTGCGTCTTATCACAAACAAAAGGTTGGAACATCAGATCCAAATTCTGGCAGTTCCCCTCTACCAGGCAGAAGGACAAATGGCTACCTATGGTGCTCCTTAGCATCTCAAAGCACAGGCTGACTTCCAGGTCCCCTCAGTACCCCCAGCACCTGTTACACAGAGACTATGTTGGTATCCTGGCTCTTCTCACCCAACTCCTCACCCTAAACTTCTCCATCTTGGAAGCTTCCCTCCTCCACCAGCTTCTCCCTTATAACTCAGCTATTTCCACTATGTCCTCTCTTGACCACTCTCTCTTAGTCACCTTCCTCTTCCTCTCTCATTCTACCCTCTCTCTTCTCATGACCAAGTCTAGTCTGCTGGCCATGCTCAGCCTATTGTTTTCTCTCTCTGCTCTGGATCCATCAGATGCCTCTGGCTATACTCTCCCTCACATCTATAATAAAAACCTTCCTCTCAGCCATGCCTTGAACGGCCATGTTGTCGGTTTATACTCTCTGTAGAACTGCACTCAACAGTATGCATTCACAGACATGAATAATTTTTTTAAATTTTTTAAGAGAATAAGAATAAAAGGAAGAGTCTCTGTTATCTTAAAGCTCAAATAACAACTAGTAATCAAAAATTAACTACACAGAGATATGGGTTCCAGAGCTCTTACCTGTGTGAGGGCGGAACACTCCACATACTTAACAGCCTTCAGATCCCGGGCCAGCTTCTCAGCAGTCTCTGGAGTGATAGGCTTCTGTTTGTTCTTGGCAAGTTTCTCAATAGTAGAGGGGTCATCTCTGAGATCAATTTGGGTCCCAACAAGCAAGAAAGGAGTCTTTGGACAGTGGTGAGTTATCTCAGGCACCCACTAAAAAGGTTTTAAATGCTCTTATTAATCCACAAATCTCTGAAACTTTACAGGCAACAGAATATCTGTACAGATTGCAAGAGTCTGACTCACCTTTTCTTTCACATTTTCAAATGAGGATGGAGAGACCACTGAAAAACATACTAGGAAAACGTCTGTTTGTGGGTAACTCAGCGGTCGTAGTCTGTCATAATCCTCTTGCCCTAAAGAAAAGTTAGGAGAAGTCAGCAACTGAAATCTGATGTCTACATAGCATTAAAATCACAGGTCTAAGAAAATGAAAATCATAGGTCAAGAGCTCTTTAGTAGGTAGTGAGTATCTAGCACGCACATAGCACTGGGTTCAACCCCCATACCACATTAAAACCAGGCATGGTTGGCACAAGACTATAATCTCAGCACTAGGGAGACAGAGGCAGGAAGGTTGAGTGTGAGGCAATCTGAGCAACATGAGACCAGGTGGGGGGGAAAAAAAAAGGTAAAGATGGATATGGCAGATCTAGCAAGATCACTCTCAGCTGGTAAACATGGTGCCATGAGTTAGGCTCCCATGCCTAACAACCTGAGTTCCATCCCCAGGAACAGATGGTGAGAGGAGGGAACAAACTCCCAAGTTTACCCTCCTGACCTCCACACGCATATGCTGTGGCATATGCTTCCACATAAATAAATAAAAGGAAAATTTAAAAATAAAATTTAAAAAGAAAAAAATATGGAGATAGTGGAACATACACATAAACTCAGCACTCGGGAGGCAGAGGCAGGAGAACCACAAGTTTGAAATCAGCCTGGTCTACAAAGCAAGATCCAAGCCAGCCAAAACAACATAGCAAAACTTATTTCAAAAAGAAAAGGGGGGGATCACAGCTCTGTCAACACTTCTAGTGTGCAGTTCATAGCATACTAGCCATTATCAACAAAGCAAGTTATCTACTCAAAAGTAAGGCTCAATATTATATGCTGTTTGGACAATACTCTTTGTGCTAATTTTATTTACATGTCAATAATTTAAACACAAGCAAATTGGCATATTATCTACTTTTATTTCCAGCTTTTAGTTCTTTAATTAGTAACTCAATAATAATGTAGTAACAAACTACTGCTAGATGTGTGGTTTAAAAAAAAAATCCAATCTACTTCTGGCTACATAACCATCACAGTGAAACCACCTAACAAAATAATAATCTCAGTAAAGCTCTTACTGAAGATATCTACTATCCATAATAACCTCTAAACTAAATCCAATACTTGGTCCACTTTCATATGTTAAAGCCAGTATCAGAAACGGGAAAGGCCTATGAAAAATGAACTTGGCAAGAATCAATAGATATGTAAAAAGAATAAAATACTAGGAATTAGGCAGGAAGGTGAAAGATTCACAAAATGAAAAGGGCAAAAAAACTACGGAAAGCAAAGAAGCCCCAAGAAATAGAAAAATAGTCATCATATGCTAGATGACTTAATATTAAGATACCATCCATCAATTCTACCCTACATATCCAATCCTAGCAGACCCTATTTTATGATTTCAAAACTTAATAAATGGGGCTGGAGAGGGGCTCAGCAGTTAAAAACACTTGGTTGTTCTTCCCAAGAACTTAGGTTCAATTCCTAGCAACCACATGGTGGTTCACAACCATCTGTAACTCCCGTTCCAATGCCAGCTTCTGACTTCTGGGAACACTAAGCATGCATGTGATATACATGCATTCATGCAAGCAAAATACCCACATATACAATACAAATGAATAATTCTAATTTTTAAAAACCTTACTAAAGCCAGGCAGTGGTGACACATGCCTTTGCTCCCAGCACTCAGGAGGCAGAGGCAAGTGGATCTCTGAGTTTGAGGTCAGCCTGGTCTACAGAGTGAGTTCCAGGACAGCCAGAGCTGTTACACAAAGAAACCCTGTCTTGAGGGGGTAGGGTGGGACACCTTACTAAAAGGCTACACTAAGCAAAAGAAGGTGATACTGAGTTAAAGAAAAACAGATCAAAGGAAAAGGAAAGCCAGAAATAAGCTATACAAAACAATTTTGTCAAGGATCCAATAGTAAATACAAGTGCTGGGAAAACTGGGTACCCACAAAAATGATGAAGTTGGGCCCTTATCTAATAGTATACAGAAGAATTAATTCAAAATGGATCAAAACCCTAACCCTGAAATTCAGAAAACCTAGAACAGACCTCCAACAGCACTGCACCTGACAATGACTGGGGTAACAAGAGAGCATTAATGACATCAAAGTACAAGAACCAAAGCAGCAGCAGATAGGTCAGATGTCATGAAAATGTAACATTTTTATGCATCAAAAGCCAGTATCAAGGAGCTGGAGAGAAGGCTCAGTGGTTAAAAGCACTGACTGTATTGCCAGAGGACCCAGGTTCAATTCCCAGTACAGATATGGAGGTTGACAACTGTCAATAACTCCAATTCCAAGGGATCCAATAACTTCTTTTGGCCTTCACAGATACTGCATTGATGTAGTGTACAGATAATATATGCAAGCCGAGAGAGAGAGAGAGAGAGAGAGAGAGAGAGAGAGAGGGAGGGAGGGAATTTCTGTGTCTCCGTGGATGTCCTGGAACTCACTCTGTAGACCAGGCTGGCCTCAAACTCACAGAGATCTGCCTGCCTCTGCCTCCCAAGTGCTGGGATTAAAAGCATTTGCCACCATAACCCAGCAGGAGAGTATAATTTACTGGCAGATGCTTACCTCGTCTGTATCAGGCCCTAGGCTTAAATCCAAACGCATCCCTCAAAAGGGCTGTATCAGCACAGTAAAAAGACAATACAGGATCAAGAAAGATGGTTCAGTAATTAAGAGCACTAGCTTCTCTTCTGGATGCCAATCACCCACATGGCAACTCAAAACCATCTGTAACTCCAGTTCCAAAGGATACAACACCCTCTTTTGGCCTCAACAGGCACTGCATGCATGTGGTACAGAGACACGCATGCAGGCAAAAGACACATAGACATAAAACAATTATGCTGTATTCAGAGTAGGATAGTACTTAGGAACAAAAACAAAAGAACCATGGCACACACACGAGTGGATGGCTCTCACAGGTCAAACATAAAGGATTCACAAGAAATCCCAGAAAAGCAAAATAGTGGGAACTTAGAAGTCCAACTGTGGCTGCCAGGACCAAGAAAAAGCTGTAAAAGCACAAGCAATATTTTAAGATATTAAAAATGAGATGGATGGATGGGTGGATGGATAGATGGATGGACCAATAGATAGGTAGGTAAGTGAGTGGGTAGGGGATGAATAAATGGACAGGAGGGTAGGTGACTAGATGAATGGATATAGCTAGATATAGATGGATGGATAAAACAGACACATGACAAGGTAGGTATATTGATTATGTTGGAGGTCAATAGAATTCATCAAACCTAACACCAAAATGAATTTTATTGTTATACTCAACAACTTTTATTTGAACACACCTGTAATCCCAGAAGTCAGGAGGCCGACCTGGAGGCAGGGCGGTGGTGGTGCACACCTTTAATAACAGCACTCAGGAGGCAGAGGCAGGTGGATCTCTGTGAGTTTGAGGCCAGCCTGGTCTACAGAGTGAAACAGAAACCCCATCTCGAAAAACAAAAATAACAACAAAAAAAGACTAACCTGGACTACACAAGGATACTGTCTCAAAAATATAACACATTTTGAAGGACTGATTTAAAATCAGTGGCACAGGCCTTTAATCCTAGCACTAGGAGGCAGACACAGGTGAATCTCTGTGAGTTCGAGGCCAGCCTCACTACAAAGTGAGTTCTAGGACAGCAAGAGCTACAGAGAAACCCTGTCTTGAAAAACAAACAAGCAAACAAATAAATAAATGATGAAAAATAAATACGAACTTTACAACCTTGGTTATATTTAAGAAACTGAGATTATTTCATTTCAGGGTCTTATGTGGCCCAGCCTGGCCTTAAATTTGCTATATATGACCTTGAGCTTCTGATCCTCCTGCTTTGACCCAGGAGAAGCTTCTGTTTCTGGAATGCTGTACAGCCACACCATATTTATGTGGTGATGCTGGAAATTGACCCCAAGACCTCATGCATGCAAGGGGAATATGCTACCAACTAAGACCCCAACTGTGAGGTTTGAACAAGGGGGTAAAGGAAATAATCAGCAGATATGTTTTTCTGAGCTCATTCCCTTAAGTCTCTCTCCATCCTCCAAACCCATTAGAGTTTACCTAATGACTATACTGTATCTTCTACCATATCATCCACCAAGGGTAGTCCAAATTCCAATTAGCCATCCATGGTCAACCATCTTTCTATGTGTGTGGTTTTTTTGAGACAGGGTCTCTCTACAGCCCTGGCTGTCCTGGAACTCACTATGTAGACTAGATTGGCCTCTAACTCAGAGATCTGACTGCCTCTGTCTCCTAAATCCTGAGGTTAGAGGTGTGTGCCACCATGCCAATAACCATCAACAAAATATAATAAGTGAATTACTAATATACTAATTTAATGGTGTCCAAAACAAGACACACAGTAGCAACTGTTACAGTTAACAGATCAAAACATTATGAGACATTTAAGTTTTCACCTGCAGTATCAAAAAGTCCAAGAGTATATGGCTCTCCACCAATCATAACTGTGACTGCATAGTTGTCGAAAACCTAAAAACAAAACAAAGAAATATAATATTATTACTGAGTAAGATAGTACAATTCCCAACCACTTATTTCCTTCCCAAGAAGGAAATTCATCTTCCCTTAGTTCGTATCTTTTTATGTAATCCATCTCACCAACTATGTCCTTGCATTAGCTGAGTGGTTCTTGGGAAAAAATGAGAGACTGTGTCCTGGGATGTCCTACTACTTGAGGAACACAAAAATCTTAAGTGGTATCACAGAAACTAGGTCTCTGACTACAGAGGACCAACCTTCCATCCATCTTCAATTGGGTTGGATAATAAAGGAAAGGTGATATTCATTCTGACAACTAGTGGTATTGAGAAGCTTTTGAATAAAACACTTTGCTAAATGAAAATAAACCAGCTTAGACAAAGAAAAAGGAGGGGTTGGAAAGATGGCTCAGCAGGTAAGATCACTGGCTGCTCTTCCAGAGGTTCAGAGTTCAATTCCCAGCACCCACATGGTGGCTCACAACCACCTCTACAGTGCTCTGATGCCCTCTTCTATCATAAAGGCATATACACAGATAGAGCACTCATAAATGAAAAAAATAAATCTTGAATGAGCGAGGAAGAGAAGGAAGAAAGGAAGGAAGGAAGGAAGGAAGGAAGGAAGGAAGGAAGGAAGGAAGGAAGGAAGGAAGGAAGGACAAACTGGGTATGGTGGAACACCCCATAATCCCAACACTTAGGAGGTAGAGGAAGGAAGAAAAACCAACCAAGGTCACTCTGACCTACTTAGTGAGTCTGAGGCCACTCTGGGCTATATAAGGCTGTCTCAAAAATAAGAAATAAAAATTTCAAATAGTCCCCTTCAAGTCTAACGAATTTAAAGACAGGGCTTTGCTTCAACAATGTTCAATCTGATTTCTAAGAAACTATTCATTCACAAACAGTTCCTTTTAATTCAGAACTGAAACTGGGCTGGAGAGATGACATAGTGGTTAAAAGTTCATACTGTTCTTTCAGAAAACTGAATTCAGTTCCTAGCACCTATATGAGACTCACAGCCACCTATAACTCCAGCTCTAGAGGAATCAAACACCGCTAGCCTCTGTGGGCAGCTGCAAGCATGTGGACATGATCCACATAACTAAAAATTAAGTAATTAAAGAAAAAAAAAGCCAGGAATGTGTCAGGTTGTGTTGGGTATTATCTATACAGATGCTATAACACTTGGGAGGTAAAGGCAGCAGGATCACTTGATTTCTGGAAACCAACATCAACAAGATAGTGAAACCTTACCTCAGGGGGAAAAAAAAATCAAAATTAGGAAGCACTGGATAGAGGCAATAAGCAGACCTCTGTGAGTTTAAGGCCAGCCTGGTCTACACAGCAAGTTCCAGGAGAGCCAGGGCTACACAATTGAAACTTAGTCTCAAAAAAGGGGGGGGGGGAGGGGGGAGTCAGGAAAAAAGCTTGATTTCCAAGTCTCATCTACCAGTTGGGCATGAATTTTCTCCATGGAAGATAAGGTGATCGATAAAATTCTTCAGCTCTAGCAGGGCGGTAGTGGTGCACGCCTTTAATCCCAGCACTTGGGAAGCAGAGGGAGGCGCATCTCTGTGAGTTCGAGACCAGCCTGGTCTACAAGAGCTAGTTCCAGGATAGCCTCCAAAGCCACAGAGAAACCCTGTCTCAAAAAAAACAAAACAACAACAACAACAACAACCAAAAATCTTCAGCTCTAAACTCTAGTCTCTAAATGGTTAAATCAGTCCACGGATAGGCATAAATATGCACTATATACTAAACCCGTTTTCATGCCAATGTAGATACCATAGATATATAACTTACTTTGACCTATTTACCTAAATAGGCCCATTTAAAAATTTACCTCACTGCCCTTCTTTCCCCGACAATGCACATACATAAAAAACACCCAGGAAGTTCACATCAAACAAAATCATGAAAGACTTGGAAATCATGTTTATAAGTAAAAATTCAGACACAAATTTCCCAAGTGGCTATCTCACCTTAAGACACAATCCACACCATACTTCAAAACATCTTCTGATTAATGGGCCAACTCAAAAATGTAGTTTTATTATCAACTTTTTTTTTTTTTTTTTGGAGACAGGGTTCTTTGTGTGGCCCTAGCTTTCCTGGAACTCGCTCTGTAGACCAAGCTGGTCTTGAACTCACAGAGATCTACCTGCCTCTGCCTCCCATGTGCTGGAATTAAAACGTGTGTGCCACCACCACCCAGCTATGAAATTACATCTTTAAATTCTCACTTCTCAAAGAAACTTCATCTTCTTTCCTCATGTAGCTTTAGCCTAACCCCTCCACCAGCTGTGACACCACAGAAGCTAACATCAATGTTTCTGAAGGTTAATCTAAGATTTTGGACTCTATTTCATCAATTCCAAAAGACACAAGTCACGCCAGGTGCGGTGGCCGGGAGTTGAATCTGAATCCTCTGGAAAAGCAGCCAGTACTCTTTAACTGTGGAGCCATCTCGCTACCCTCAACTGTTTAATTTTAAAGTGTTAATTACCCATGAGAAGTCAAAAACCTTTAAAAATAGCAAACAATGGGCTGATATGATGATTGAGATGGTGAGGGCACTTGCAAAACATGACAACCTGAGTTCAATTACAGAGCACACATGATCAAACTAGACTCCTTCAAGTTGTCCTCAGCCCTCCATACATGTACCAAGGCAGGTTTGTATATACATACATACAGTATATACATACATATACCCTACAAAGTAAATAAACAATGAAATTTAATTTCTTTTTTAAAAAGATCAAAGATAGACAGAAAAATATTTCAGTGCAGGCAGGCAAACTTTTTCCAATGGACAAACAATCCTTTTCGCTGTCAGAAAGACTTTATACTTACAGTTGGTACATATTCCGATGGAAATTTGTTTGTTGTATAGGATATCAGGAGACATGTTTTACCAACAGCACCATCACCAACAACAACACACTTAATTGTCTGCATTGTGGAAATAGTTTTGTATCCACTTTTAATATTTCAAATTAGATGGTGACCTACAAAAAAAATTAAAGACAATTATTCTATTGATTCCTATTTATATACATATTTTTCCCCTCAACTAGTAACAAGTTCAGCTACTCAAAGAAAAGTACCAGCATTACTGACATGGCTTAAAACCTCTAAAAAGAAAAATGGCAACTTGCTCAGAGCAGCAGTTACAAGGGTCTATTTGCTAAGTTTCTGGACCTGGTTGTTTTGTCTTAAGTATCTTTTTTTTTTTTTTTTTTTTGGTTTTGAGACAGGGTTTCTCTGTGTAGCTTTGGAGCCTATCCTGGCACTCGCTCTGGAGACCAGGCTGGCCAAGAACTCACAGAGATCCCCCTGCCTCTGCCTCCCGAGTGCTGGGATTAAAGGCGTGCGCCACCAATGCCCGGCTTAAGTATCATTTTTTAAAGTCCAAAGTACAACAGTGATCAGTATATTTCTTTTTTGAATTACCTATTTTTATAATGAAAAAGAGGAGATAGGAGAAAGAGTCCCATGTGGTAAATGAACTTTGTGAGAACATACATGCACTATATGCAAGATCACTTACAACACAAAGAACACTGTAAAGAATGGTTCATTACCCAGCCTTAGAGCTGCAGCAACCCAGAATGTAATGATAACAAGAGGCACAGCCCTTGTCCATCACCCCCAGAATATGTGAGCTAGGCCATGATCAGAGTATCTCTAGTCTCAGCAGCCATAATAGCACCAGTTAGCCTAGTTATTACTCATGGCCTGAAGAGTTTTAACCTACATTTTAAAATGAAAATATCAGCTCTTCTAACCATAGTGATTTATTTAAAAATATAATTGCATGGGCTAGGGAGATAGCTCAAAGGGCACAGCACTTTCCCAGACAAGCCTGATAACCTGAGCTCAGATCTCCAGATCCACATAAAAGTCAGGTGCAGTAATGAAAACGCCGGTCATCCCAGAGTGCCCCACCAGGAGGTGGGAAGCAGAAGCTCACAGCCTATACGGTAGGCTAAGCAGTGAACAAGAGAAACCCTGACTCAAAAAACAAGAAAGAAAGAGAGGGCTACTACTCTTCAAGGCTGTCCTCAGGCCGCCACTGATACACCACAGCTTATGTAGATGCACACAACCAATTACAAATGCACAAAGAATTTACTAAAAAAGAAAAAAGACTTGCAAATGGCTATGGCATTTAAATTTTGCCAACACTTGGAAGACAGAGGCAAGCAAATCTCTAAATTTGAGGTCAGCCTGGTCTACAGGGTGAATTCCAGGACAGCCAGGACTACAGAGAGAAACCTGTCTCAAAAACAAAAACAAACAAACAAACAAAAACACCCACAAGAACTTGTGTTTAACTTTGAGATACACTTCCCCTCAAAAAAAAAAAATTCTTTTAGTTTGCTCAAGTGTATGCTCATCTACCATGTGTGTGCCTAGTAGACAGAGGTTACAAGAGACAGTTGTGAGCCACCACATGGGGCTAGACAGGAAGCCAGCTCCTTTACAAGAACAAGTGTTCTTAACTACTGAGCCATCTCCTCAGCACCCACTCCAATTTTTCTGACATCTTTGAAATTAAGATACAGAATCTTAGCTAGGCGTTGGTGGCGCACGCCTGTAATCCCAGCACTTGGGAGGCAGAGGCAGGTGGATCTCTGTGAGTTCCAGGCCAGCCTGGTCTCCAGAGCGAGTTCCAGGATAGGCTCCAAAAGCTGCACAAAGAAACCTGTCTCGAAAAACAAAACAAAACAAAAGATACAAATCTCTGTGTATCTATGAATGTGTATCTGTATGCACGTACACATGCACTTGGTGTGGAGGCCATAGGACAGTCATTCTGCAGCTGCCATACAGCTTGTTTTTTTGTTTTCTTTTGTTTTGTTTTAAAACAGGGTTTCTCACTGGCCTGGTATTCTACAAAAAAAAAAAAAAAAAAAAAAAAAAAAAACTGAACATCAAGTAGCAACTTTTTTATGTGGGTTCTGGAAACTGAACTCAGGTCCTCATGTTTGTACTTCACCATCTCCCCCAGCTACAAAGGAAAATCAGATTCCAAAAATGCTCCCAACGGCTTTGAGAGAAATAAATAATCCGCATAATTCCTTGGAGGAGGGTCGGTTTACAATTTCTTGCTGGTAGCTCTCTGAGCCAGCAAAATGGTTCAGCCAAAGAAGACACTTGCCACCAAACCTGATGACCTGAGTTCCATCCAAGGGACACACATGGTAGGAGAAAACTAACTTCCACAAGTTGTCATCTGATGACCACATGCATACCATGCACGGTTCATATAGGCCTACCCCCATAAACAAACAATGTAAAAAAATTATATACATACATGTATATAAATTTCTAAAACTAGTTCCCCTCACAACATTTAATCACTATTTATAAATGCTCATTAATACCTCTGTATGCACCTATAGCACTTCACATGCCACTGTACTTTAAACATTTAGAACTGGCAGGTTATAAGCTGATGAATGGATGCAAAACTCACATAAAATATAAAACTACATCAGTAGTTACAGGAGACATAAAGTCACCCATTATTCATAGAAACTATGAGCTGGGCATGGTGGCAACAACTATAATCTCAGCACTTGGGAAGCAGAAGTAGGAAAATCTTGAAGTTGAGGTCAACCTGGGTTACACAATAAATCACAGATGAGCAAGGGCTAAACACAGGTAAAACTCTCTCAAAAGATAAGAGGCTCAGACAATAAAATGCTTGCCTTGTAAGCACAAGGACCTGAATTTGTTTCCCAGAACAAATCTAACACAAAGGCTGCAGCCTGCAAGATGGCTTATATAGGTCAAGACAACTGTCACCAATTCTAAAGACCTGAGTTCAATACTGGGGACCCACACTGAAGGAAAACAAACAACTCCCAAGTTATACTCTGACCTCTAAATGAATGAATGAATGAATGAATGAATGAATGAATGAATGAATGAATGAATGAATGAATGAATGAATGACACACACACACACACACTGAATGAATGAATGAATGAATGAATGAATGACTTTTTAAGCTGAGCACACTTGGGCAGGTATACATACCTGCATTTCCAGAGCTAAGAAGTAGAGAAAGGCTGGTCACTGGAGCTTACTAGCTAGCCATACTAACCTATTTGGTGAGTTTCACAGAAGTGTACCCAAACACTGAACCATGATGACCACCAAATTCATAATCAACTGGGAAGAGGTGAACAGCCTTGGCACCCCATTTACAGCTAGTGCTTGAGGTAAGGGCAGTTCTCTGAAATAGGTTAGTATGCTGTGAAAATGGTAACAGCCTGTGTGAGAAAAAAAATACATTCACGCTAACACAAAATACTACTAAAGTTGTTTACATTTAAAATACACCTGACGCCAAGACACTCCATTTTGTCTAGGATACAAGAAAGAGGAGACACTACAGGAAACCAGAAAAGAATTACTCAATTTCACAAGTATTTCTTGCCAATCCAACTGGATGACTAGCCTGATTACCAGATTAGGTAGAATATATAAAATGAACACCCTCTCCCTCTCCCACCATCACCATCTAATTCACTTAACTTGCAGGCTGAAGTTTACATAACCTTTGCTAAACTATGGTAGATTATCTATATACAGCTTTAAAAAAAAAAATAACATTTACAGCCACACATGGTGACTCACTCCTTGAGGCATAGGCAGGTTCAAGGCCAGTCAAAGTAAATTCTAGGACAGCTAAGCCTGCTACAAAGAAACCCTGTCTCGAAAAACAACAACAGGCGATGGTGGCGCACACATTTAATCCCAGCACTTGGGAGGCAGAGGCAGGCAGATTTCTGTGAGTTTGAGGTCAGCCTGATCTACAGAGTGAGTTCCAGGACAGTCAGGGCTATTATACTGTGAAACCCTGGAGAAACAGAGAGAGGAGGGGGAGGAGGGGTGGAGGGAGGGAGAGAGAGAAGGGAGGGAGGGGGAGGGGGAGGGGAAAGGAAGGAAAGAAGGAAGGGAGGGAGGAAGGAAGGAAGGAAGGAAGGAAGGAAGGAAGGAAGGAAGGAAGCAAGCTTGACAGAGTCCCATGTACCTGGGCTGGACTCAGAGCTAGGGCTAGAAGCCAGAGCTTTATACATGCAAGGCAAATGAACCACATCCTCAGTTCCCAAAAAATTTCTTCTATACCTCCACCATAGCTACCTTTTTCCCCAAACAAGAAATGCATTGTAAATGTTTTTAACACTGTAGTAAGTATTTCAACTTATTGTATTACTTCTCCAAATATTAATCAAAAGAACTAAGACAAAGAATGAGAAAGTTGGATATGGGAGATCTTTTAATGAACTAATTTCAGCCCACCATTTTAAAGGTAAGAAAATTATGAACTGGGTGAAGCAGCTCACACCTACAGTCCCAACATCTGGGAGGCAAAGGCAGGAACTTTACAGAAATTCCAGAAGAGTCTATTCTGTATCACCCTGAATACATGGAGAGAAAACAGGAAAGGAGAAACGTCTGACTTGAATACAAAGACTTGCCTCAAAGCCAGAAAGCTAGTATGTATGTATCATGCTATTCTTTTCCAACTCTAAATTTTAACAAATACATGCCTGTCAACTCACATCTCAGCAAAAGAACCTTGAGTTCCATGCTAACCTGGGCTATATAGTGAAAACTTACATGTGAGTACACATTCATATATATATATATATGTATATGTATATGTATATATATGTATATGTATATGTATATGTCATATATAGAGTTGTTTTAAACTTCATAGTTTTCATGGCCATCAGTAAACAGGAATGAGACTTCTTCAAAAGTCAAAACAGCCAGGCGTTGGTGGCACACGCCTTTAATCCCAGCACTCGGGAGGCAGAGGCAGGGGAGGGAGTTCCAGAACAGCCTTCAAAACCACAGAGAAACCCTGTCTCGAAAAACCAAAAACAACAACAACAACAAAAAAAAAACGTTGGACATGGTAGCAAATGCCTGTAATCCTAGCACTCAGAAAGCAAAAGGAAGTGTAACAGAATTACAAGGCCA